AAATGTACATAATACTTAAAAAAAATTTGTTTTGAGGCAGGGTCTCTCTATGTAGTTCAGGCTGCCATTGAATTCACTATGTAGGCCAGCGTAACCTTGAGCTCAACAGTCCTCCTGCCTCAGCCTCCCAAGTGCTGGGATTACAGGCATGAACTACAATGACCAGCAACACTTGCAGTTAATATCTAATATTATGTTTAATACTGTAAATGAAAAACATGCCCATGAAAATACATGTGTCAGGCTTCACAATCAACTAATCTTTCTTTCTTTTTTGGTACTGGGGTTTGAACTCAGGGCCTTTGCACAGAGCTATGTCCCAACCTCTTTTTTCATGTTTTATTTTGAGACAGGGTCTTGCTAAGTAGCTAGGCTGGGCTCAAACTTGGTAATCTTTCTGCCTCAGCCTCCCAGAGTGCTCAGACTATATGTGTGTACTACCATACCCAGCATGATCAACTAATTTCTTGTTAGCTCTACCAAAATTATAAAATTTAATTTACAGAGTTGCTGCATATGACAAGGGCTATCTGATGGCTACTTGATAATTCTGAACAGTTGGAGCTAAAATGCATCTATTAGCATGAAGAATTAGTAGCTGAAGATAGCTTCAGGTTTTCAGATTCTAAGAGCAAGAGTGCAGAGTAAGCTTAAAAGTTGAAAGTTGCAATTTGGGAAAGAGCAGGGATTATATTCATTTGCATGGGCTGCATGCAGTTCTGGAAAGTATTTTTTTCCATTCTGTTGCAACATTTGGATGTGGTTTAGAATATGTTCAATAATGTGTCATTCATTCTTTTCTCTGATGAATAAAGAAAACTGCCATGTGTTGGACAACAGTCCACTCTTGGCAGTCAAGACATTTGCATCATCTTCTGGTTTTACAAAATTCTGATACTTTGCCAGGAGGTGGAGATGCACACCACTGATCTCAGCTACTTAGGGGGCTGAGGCAGGAGGATCACAAGTATGAGACTAGCCTGGGGAATTTGGTAAGACCCATCTCAGAAAAAAAAATGCCACATGTGGTGGCACATACCTGTAATCCTCGCACTCGGTAGGCTGAGGTAGGAAGATTACTGGGAGTTTGAGGCCAGCCTGGGATACATAAGTGCAAGGCCAGCCTGAACTATATAGTGAGACCCAGTGTCAGAAAACCAAAAATTAAAATTAAATTAAATTAAAAAATAAGGGCTCAGGATGTAGTTTAGTGCTCCTTAAGTTCAATCCACAGTACCATAAAAGAAGAAAATTTAAAGAAAAAAAGATCCTGATACCTTGTTCTTAAGATTAAAAATCATTTGCACTGCATCTGCCTCTAAAATGCAGATTTTCATAAGAACCCTTATGGGGAAGCCAGTCACTGCTGAAGTTGAATCTTCTGATTCAAGAGAAAAAGGTCCACGTCTTCAGGGTAACCAAGGGATTCTTCTTGATCAGCAAAAACTGATCTGTGCTGGCACGCAAGCAATCAGAGGGTGGATGTACTTTGACTACAACACTCAGAAGGAGTCCATCGTTCTTTTCTTCTTTGGTGCTGGGGATGGAGCGCAGGCCCCTGTGTGTGCCAAGCCACTCCTCACTTTACTTTGAGACTTTGTGAAGGAAAGAAGTCATCTTACCAGCCTGAGGAGACTGAGCATTAGACAAGGGAAGTTATTTTCTATGGGTTTTGTTTTTTGTTTTGAGATAGGGTCTCACTATGTAGTTCAGGCCTTGAACTCTTTATGTAGCCCAGGCTGTTTTTTTTCTTTTGTTTTTTTTCTTTTTTTTTTTTTTTTTTTTTTTTTTTTTTTTTTTTTTGGTGTTTTTGAGACAGGGTCTCACGATGCAGTTCAGGATGGCCTTCAGCTCACTCTGTAGCCCAGGCTGGTCTCAAACTCACAAAGATCCTCCTGCCTCAGCCTCCTGAGTGCTGGGATTACAGGCATGTGCCACCATGCCTGGCATCCCAGGCTGATTTTGAACTTGTGGTGATCCTCCTGCCTCAAGGCATGCACCACCATAGCTTATATGACTTTTTAAAAATATGCACTTAAAATAAACCCATCGTGTGTTAGCTGGGTTTCCATCACTGTTACAAAATACCTGAGGTCAAATGAATTAAAAAGAAGATGTTTTACTTGGGTCCATAGTTGGTCAGTCACATTGCTTTGGGACTGTGCCAAGACCGCAGGTCATGGTGGGGAGTGCATGGCAGAGTAAAGCTGCTCACCTCATGGTGGATGGGAAACAGAATGGAGAGGGGCCAGGATCCCGCTATTGTTCTCAAGGGTATCGCCTAGTGACCTCGCTGTTTTCCACTAGGCTGTCACACCAGATCATGTGCAGCATCAGCTGGGGAGCAAACCTTCAACACATGAGCCTCTGGACACTGAAGATCCAAACCACAACACATGACATTTAGAACTTGAAGTTCTAAGCTCAGGTTCATCAAAATACTGCTCAGCCAGGTCAGTTAAGCAAGCCCACTTCAAAGAAAAAGTTTCTATTAGTATTATCTATATTATAAAGAAAAGCCATTATTTAAAAAATTGTGACCACATCTCACCCATTATTGGCTTCCATACTTCTCTGTGAAAAAAGGACCTATCTACCTGTTTGTAAAGTTTATGCTCACTGGCTCCTATTTTACTCTTTTTGTGGTTTGAACAAAAAATTTATTGTATCTAAGTTGAATCAAAACCAGAAGAAATAGTTAATGCAAGAACCATGCCCTTTCTGCAAAGCTACAATTCCATCAGGTTGCCTCACAGCTCATAAAGTAACTCTTATCTAAATAACAAATGTAACTTGAATTCTGTAAATTGAATTTTCTTTTTTGGATTTTCTGAGACTGGGTCTCACTTTGTAGTCCAGGCTGGCCTCAAACTCACAGTGGTCCTCCTGCCTCAGCCTCCCTAATTCTGGGATTATAGGCATACATCACCATGCCTGGCTGTATAAGTTGAATTTTTAATGATAAACCAAACAGGAAGTTTCTGGTTTTCCTCATGGACCTTATACACTGTTCAGTTACAAAATCCTGACACTTCTTTCTTAATGTTAAGAATCATGGCTTTGCTCCACTACCAGTGTAGCCGTCATCTTCATCAGTGGTGTCCACTTAGAAGGCAAACATCTGTCAGCAGTCATGGAGCCAATGCTCCCTTTTCATGTTACAGATGTTTGATAATTTTGCAAGGAGCTTGTTATTTTCCTCCAAGTGAAACAGAAATGTTTGTTTTTAACACTGTAGCTATTTACATAAACATTTGTGTAAGAAAATTATTTCTACCAATTTCTTTTTCTATAAAGAGGCATGTGAGTTGATCTATTTTATCCAAAAATTTCAGTCATTGGGGTACAGTAGCACACACTTGTAATTCTAGCTATTCAGGAGGCTGAGGCAGGTGGACTGCAAGTTTGAGGCTGGGCTGGGCAATTTAGCAAGAGCAAAATTCTTTTTTTTTTTTGAAATTTTCTTTTTCGGTGCTGGGATCGAACCTGGGGCCTTGTACATGCTAGCAAAACACTCTACCATAAAATTCTCTAATTTTCACTTCAAAATATGGTTACAAAACAATTGTGTGTGGTAATGCAAGTCCACCCATAAGCCCCCAGCCCCCCCCCCCCCCCCGTTTTTTTTGAGACAGGGTCTCACTCTATAGTTTACGCTGGCCTTGAACTCACTATGCAGCCCAGGCTGGCCTCAAACTCACAGCAATCCTCTTGCCTCAGCCTTGTGAGTTCTGAAATCTCAGGCATGCGCCACAGCCTGGAAAGCCCTGTGCTCTTGGGAAGCTGAGGCAAGAGGCTCACAAGTTGAAACCCAGCTGGGGCAATTAGGGATTTAGTGAGACTGTCCAAAGTTAAGAATAAATAAAGTTCTGGATGTCTCTCAGTGTGAAGGACCTAGGTTCAATCCCCAGTCTCATAATTAACCAACCAACATGAGAGCTACCCTCTATATGTACTTCTTTTAAATGATTTTTCTTCTTTTTGGTGAATTAGAAATACAACCCAATAAATGAAATCAAAGATAAATATTTTAAAAATGCAAACAATATTCAAATTATGTTAGAATTCCTTGGCTTGCAGTATACATACGGTAAAACCTAAGAATGCAAAGATGCTCGATAGAATAATAGGAATTTTGTTGAAAAAAATTGTTTTTGGAGACAGGATCTCGCTTTGTAGTCCTCACTATGTACCTAGGCTGGCCTTCAACTCATGGCGATCCTCCTGCCTCGGTCACCCAAGCGCTGGGAGCACATGCGTGCGCAACCACACTCTTTTATTGACATTTTAATTAGATTTATACTAAACAATGTGTGAAAGACACGTGAAAAGGAGTACCTACAGTACTAAAACGGTGGCGCTAAAACGGATGGATGTAACAGGCTTCTGGCGTCAGGTTCCTTCAGTCTGCGTTTCACACCGCTACTGGACTTAACCTCTTAGTCTCTCACTTAACCTCTTTGCTTCTATTTCCTTACTTGCAAAATGGAAATACTAGTAGAATCTACTTCACAGTGTCATGAGGGTTGAACAAGTTAAAACAAATATATGTATATATAGTGGTCCGGAGTGCTAAATGCTTCCTATTTTTAGAAAATAAAATGTACTATCATCATCTTGTAACTTCTTTACTGAAATCCTGCCGCTTTGTCCCTATCACTGACCAAAGGAAGCTACCCTCTTCTTAAGATACCTTCTTCATCCACTGCCTCCAGTTTTGGCTGCCAGTACCTGACTTGGCAGATCAGAAGCGCACAGAGTATTTTACTCTACCAGCTCCTCAGAAGCCTTTCAAAAATAAGCCACTAACTCAGTCAGCTTGCGAAGTTTAGGTATTAGAATACCTAGAGAGGATTTACAAAATAAATCTTCAGTATGGAGAACAGCCCGGCAAATCCAAACCCAAAACAAACTTTTCCGCAGCTTCCTTGCTCTTCACTGACGTCACTCGGGCCCCGACCTCTGACGCGAGCGGGCGGGGCTGGGCAGGCCGACGGGGGGTGGGGTGGTGGACCCCGCCTACTCTATGGGCGGGGCCTTTCCGCAACTGGGGCCGGCATCAAGGGGGTTATCCTAGCCGCCATCTTGGATTCCGCGGTAGCGGTGGCGGCAGTAGGGCGCCGCTTCTGGGGAGTGGCTCCCCTCCACCCCCCGCGCTCGGTGTCAGCGGCTCCTCCCACTGGGGGGGGAGGCGCGGCGGCGGCAGCGGTGGCGGCATCTAGGCCATGGCGGCAACTACTGCGAACCCCGGTGAGGAGAGGGAAGACAGGGGCGCCTTAAAGGGGGAGCGGCTGAAGGGGCTGACAACTGAGCAGACCCTGGGCTGAGCGGCCGTAGCGGCGACTGGAAGCTCTGGGACTGGCTGCCGCGGCCTGGGGGTGTGGGGGAGGGGAGGGCCTGGGGGAGGGGACGGGCCCGGGGGACCTGGGGACACCCGGGGCGGACAGGGGTTGCGGGCGAGCGGGACTTGCGGCTTCCCAGCCCCCCAGTGCGGAGCAGCGGCCGCGCAGGCCGGGCGCCTGCACTCTTCGGGCGGCGTCTGGTCCTGTGATGTGGTTGTCTTTAACTCTCTGCCGGCTGACGCTCCCCAAGCCGAGGGACTGCTGGCGGGAGTGGGTCAGTTTACTTGAGAGTACTTTGGCGTCGTAAACATTGGACCACGTTGCTGTCGAGCGGAGGTGTGTGTTCCAGACACCTGAGCGTTTAGATGTTCGTGTAAAATGTGGTCTTCTATAAATACATGCTTAGGTTGTCTGGGCTTCACCTCCCCCCGCGCCCCGCCCCCTCGGGCGATACTTTGAAATTTGCTTTTACGTTTTAACAGGGCCCGGAGTGTCTTCAGCTGCTGGAGGCAGAGGTTTTTGTACAATAGTTGTGATTCAGGACAGGTCTTTCGGCAAGGACCCCAGTTTAAATCTTGTTAGGCCCACGTCGAGGCAATTCCCATTTTCAGAAAAATTTAGTTAATGCCGTTCTCTCTCTCTCTTTTTGCCATGCCATTTCTCAATGCACATTAATTTAAAAAATGTAGCCGGTCATGTCTAAGATAGAGTAAGTTGTGATGCAGGTCTAGGGAGATCAGATCTTCGAATTCGTAGTCGCAGTCCTCTTTCCACTACGTTACGGTTATTTCTCTGTGGAAAGTATTTCATTTTATGGGATCTAGCCTAGTTTGCTTATTTGACCATTCTTTTGCTAAACGAAATCTATCCTTTCCTAGAAACACTTATCGTTTATGACTTTAAAAAAATCGGAGGGAGGCAGAGGGGTGTGTAGGTGAGAGAAGGTTAGAGGTGGGAAAGAATTCCCTGCTGTCCTCAAATTGGAGTTTGATTTTCTTCATGTCTCTGAAGGCGGTATTATTTCGCAATATCAGGTGTTGATAATACAGTTGAATCACTATGAAATTTACTGTCTTTCCCCCATGTTTCTGGGAATAGAACTCTTTTAAGAAATGGTTAATCTGTCCCATGTTAGTGTCAGTTTTTTAATCTTTCAAAAGATTTTAAGGGAAAGGAAGATAAAATTAATGACTAAATTTCTCTTGGAAGAAGTGCGAGTGATAGAACAAAATTATACAGTTGGAAAAATGCTACGGAGAAAACCTGACCTTGTAGTAAAATAATCTGTCGGTGAACTAGGGGTAAATAAGATTTTAAACTGATCACACAATGTAAAATCCTTATATAATCCTAGTCAAATTTCAAAGCATTTCTTAGTAAGAAGTGGCCTGGGTAAACAAGTTTTAGTGCATATGTCAGAAGCTTTTTTCCAGCTGCGTGGGTGGGGTTACTTTGTCTTGTTTTTTTAAACAACAGTCACCAGAATGACAGTCTCTTGACCATATTTGCATTGGCTGACCAATATCACTTTAAATCTCTAAGCAGAAAATAGCATTTTTTTGATGCAGAATCCTTGTCAATAAAAAGATTTTGTTGTTGTTGTTGTTTTTTGCTTTTGGTCCTTGGCTGCTTGCTTCTGAAATTTCTAAATTTCCTTTTTTTATGTTGGATAATTCTTCCATTTCTTCTAAGTTATTCATTGCATGTTCATTACATGATAATCACATCAGAAAATGTATTTTTTCCCTTTGCCACTTTTTATCAAAGGGAAGAGATTATAGATTCATGGGTTTTTTTAGTAGCCTGTTGCGTTTTAGTAGCCTGTTCCACAGAAGGGGGAAATGTACTGTGCTCAGTGAAAAGAAATAAGTGGTTTTCAAATTCTGTGCTGCATTGTCAAGTCTTTTTTCCTTTAGACTTATTTCTTTGAGATTTTTCTACTTTGTATTTTGGCTGGAGTGAGAACTGGTTAAATCTCTCTGCAGAAGAGTTTTTCAAAAGGATTTCACTTTTCTCTCTAGGCTTTAAATGAAGTTAATCTTTAGTTAGGGTTAATAGCAATGCTTAGTCATGTTAATTGTACTTACTCTAATGGGGATCCTTTGCTGGTGGTCTCTTTAGGGACCTGGTTCCTCTACATTTTTCATTATATTTTAATATGGGGCTGGTTTAGAAGAAGATGTGGATTTGTCGTCTCTGAGTTGTGTTGAAATGATAATTCTAATGTGATGATGACTTTTTTTCTGTATGAGTTGGTAGTTCTCCATACCCTATTATTTTTTATTAATACTACTTAGCAGTGGTAAGTGGTTTTCTTGTCTGTGGATATTAACAGTGTCAAGATTAACACTTTAAATTGGATTTGTAGGTTGCAGTACATTGACTAAGGGACTAGTTGGCAAAAGACTAGGTTTTGATTTGATTTATAAGTAAATGTTCAAACCTGAGATGTGAACTAGTTTGTAGTGTTATTTTTTCCTCCCTTAATTCTGTTATTCTCATTAGCAGAGAAATCATTGTATGTACTGTTGTTTTTTGTTGTTATTTGAGCCAGGTCCTAGGTATGTACAATTTATTAAGTACATTGTGTTGCTGATGGAGAATGTGGTAGAGGGCAAAGGAGGGAACACTGGGTATGTAAGGTTGATACTTAAGCACAAAGTTGCTTTTTACATAATTTTCAATGATATAAATTATAGTTTTAAGCAACAGTTAACAAAATTCCAATCTGTGGATCGAACTCAGGACCTCCAGCACGCTAGGCAAGTGATCTACCACTGAGCTATGTCCCCTGCTCTTAATTTTTTCATTTTGAGCAGAATCTCATCATGTTGTCCTGGTTGGCCTCGAATTTGTGATCCTCTTGCCTTTGCATCCCAGGTAGCTAGGACTACAGGTGTATGCTTACCATACCTAGCTCTCAAAATTCTTGCCCATTACCTTCATACACCTTTTTCAGATATGGGAAAATAGAAATTCAGGCAGTACAGAATTAAGTGTTCAGCTGGGGGTGGTGGTGCACACCTGAATCACAGCACTCAGGAGGCTGAGGCAGGAGGATTCCCTTGAGTTTTAGGCCAGCCTGGGCTATATAGTGAGTTCAAGACCACCCTGAAGTACCTAGCAAGACCCTGTTCCAAAAAAAGAAAAAAAACAAAAAATTAAGTTGTCAAGATACTTTTTATAAATTATATTTTACTGCAAAAGATCCTTCAAAAATAATGAAACGTATTTTACTAACTCAGCAATAGAAATACAATCAACATTTTAAAAAAGGAATCTCAGTCCTCGTACTTTTTATGCAGTGGGTTTGTGGTACTAACATGAATCTTCTGCATTTTCCTAGAATTAAGAAGACAGTTCTGCATTCTTGGAACTTTTGTTGTCATTTTGAAATAGCAATCTTAGCTTAGTTTTTGGCCTTTCAGTTCTCTTCCCATTCAAAAAGTCCACTAAGAGATGAGACATTGCTTTGTTGCCTTATGGATTTTTTTTTTTTTTTTTTTTGGTTTTTCTCTGGTACCGGGAACCGAACTCACAACCTTGCGCTTGTCAGGCAGGCGCTTTTGCTGCTGAGCTAAATCCCCAGCCTGCCTTATGGATATTTTGTAGAAGCATTTTGTGGTTCTCTGTTATGGATGACTTTCTCCCAAGGCGGTAACAGTAGGAATTTCCACATGTCAAATAGTGGTTGATCTTCACAAATTCAGTTACAACATTCAAAAGCAAACTGAACTTTTTTTTTTTTTAGCTTACTTAGGTCCTAATATCTTGGAGTTTTTTACTTCTAAAACTAGTAAAATTTGAGCCCTTCATATGGAAACTTTTTGGAGTCATTGTTTTCTGCCCAGACTAATTAAAAGATACATTTAAAATGTAAAAACACTGTATTATAGTCCTGGAAAGAGGTGTAAGAATAAAATTTCTGTCAGCGCTACCCAGTGTTTCTGTGGTTATATAGCAGATTTCATTTAGACATAACAGCCAGAGAACACATTTAGTTCTTTTTTTGTTGTTTTTTTGGTACCAGGAATCTAACTCATGACCTTGCACTTACCAGGTGGGCACTGTACCGCTGAGCTATATCCTCTGTCCAGGAGAACGCATGTAAAGTCCCTTTGAAAATGTGGATCCTGAATTCAGTGAACATGCCTGCTTATAGGCCTTGTTTGTTCATCTATCTTTTTTTGTTTGTTTTGTTCTTTTTGAGACAGGGTCTTGGCTGTGTAGTTTAGGCTGGCCTTGAACTCACTGTGTAGCCCAGGTTGGCCTCAAACTTGCAATGATCCCCCTGCCTCAGCCTCCCAGGTGCTGGGAATATAGGTGTGTGCTATCATATCCACTCTCATCCATCTGTTTTTAGAGAATGCTACCTTCTGTGCCATGATGACTTCAGTAAATAGACATTAGTGAATGTTCAGATTTGGGATTTGTTCTGATTTACATATAGGTAAACAAAACCAGAGAAAGGAATGGACACATTCATTAAACACTTAGTAATTTCTCTGTATACCAGCATATACTTTCTAATTTTGTCAGTCTCTATATTAGAAAATATCTCCCATTTTTCAGATAAATTCTTTAAATTTATCTCTTTCATCATTTTTTCCTTGTTTTTTTTCCCCTTCTCATTTTCACTGTAGTTGACTAGACAAAGTAAGGTTATGGCTTCATCCATATAATTAGAACAGAAGCTCCATGGGAATGCTTGTTTTCTTTATTCATCATAGCATGCTGGTGCTTACAGTGATGCCTGGTGTATAGGACTGGAGTAGTAGTGTATAGGATTGGAGTTCAGTTAATGTTCATTGAATAAATGGGCAAATGTAAGACCTAGCATTGGAGATTTTCCATTGAAAGGAAAATACCTTTAAAAGGTATTTGGCATCAGGAATTATGATATAGCTGTATAATTATAATAACTGTAACAATAATTCCTAACATTTATTGATAATGTGGCAGCTGTTCTAAGTTAATCCTTGTATATTTGATCTCATTTAATCTTTATATCAGTCTTAAATCAATAGTATTATCCTTTTTTACAGATAAGAAAACTAAGGTACAGAGTAACTTTAAGTAACTTTTTTGATGCTGTATAGCTAGTTGGAGGTAATGACAAGCTTTGATTGCTGGCACTCAGCATTCTTCTTTTTTTTGAGACAGCATCCTTTTTTGCTATGCAGCTCAGGCGGACCTCAGACTCACAGTGACCTTCCCACCTCCACCTCAAATGCTGGTATTACAGGTGTGTGCCATCACACCTGGCTAGCATTGTGAATTGCTAAGTGTAGGACTTTATCCTTTGTGATTTTTAAAAATTTCCATATTTATTTAATTCACTGGAAAATTAAAAATTGCTGAGCTAAAAGACAAAATTTCAAAACAAGAAAATAGGAGGGTAACAATGATTAATACATTGCATATTACTATCTTTAAATTAGTTACTCAGAGTGTAAGATATAGGCATTTAATTGTCCAAACAATATTAGTACAAACCTTTCTTTTCAGTGAACTAAGAGAAATTAGTAGTATAACTGTCTTAACTTTGCTTTTCCCTTCCTTCTTTTCTACTTTCTCCTATCCCAGTTTCTCTTTCCTTTTGAACAGTTTCTTCTCATTTCACAATATCTGTTGTACATTTTGAATCTTATTTACCCTTTCAGCTTCTAACACTAGGGAGACAATACAATGTTTATATATGTGAGTCTGATTTATTTCACTTATGAGTGTAGACTTGAGTTGCATCCATTTACCTATAAAAATCTCCAGTTTATCCTTCTTTATGCCTGAATAGTACTGCATTGTATAAAAAGACCACATCTTTTTTACCCATTCCTCGGTTAGGGGGCATTTGGGTTGTTTCCAAGATCTATTACAAATTGTGTTGCTATAAACATGGGTACACATATATCGCTGTGGTATGATGTTTTAAATTTTTCTGGGAAGATACCCATTAGGAGAATAGCTGGGTCAGATGGGACTTCTAGTCCTAGTTTTTTAAGGAATCTCCACACTGAGTTCCACAGTGGTGACACTAGTCTGCACTCCCACCAGCAGTGGAGAAGGGTTCCTTTTTTCCCACATCCCCACCAGCATTTGTTATTGATTGATTTCTTGATAATAGCCATTCTTTCCTGGGTGAGATAGAATCTCAGCATTGTTTTAATTTGCATCTCTCAAATGACCAGTGATGTTGAACATTTTTTCACATATTTATTTGCTGTTTGTACTTCTTCATCTGAAAAGTGTGTATTCATCTCAGATGCCCATTTTTGGATTGAATCTCTAAATTTGGGAGGTCTGGGCCTGAGACGTAGCTCAGTGGCACAAGTGCCTGCCTGGCAAGTACAAGGTCTCAAGTTCGAGTGCTGGTACCAAAAAAAAAGAGAAAAAAAATTTGGGATTTCTGATTTTTTTTTTGAGTTTTTTAATATGTTCTCAGTAGTATTCTTTGTTTGAGGAACAACTGGCAAACATTTTTTCCCCCATTGTGGGTTGTCTCTTCACTCTGTTGGTGGTTTCTCTTGCTGTGCAAAAGCTTTTTAATACAGTAAGATCCCAGTTGTTGATTCTTTGTGATAGTTCCTGTGTGATCAAGGTTTTATTCATAAAGTTTGCCTACACCAGTGTCTTCAAGAGTTTTACCTATTCTGTCTTCCAGCAGATTTAATGTTTTTGTTTTAATTTTAGATCTTCGGTCTATTTTAAATTTAGTTTAGTGCATGGTGAAAGATGTGGGTCAAGTTTTAATCTTTGGCATGAGCAGAGCCAGTTTTTCCAGCACCATTTATTAAAAAGGCTATAATATGTTCGGCACCTTTGTCAAAGATAAGGTGGCTGAGTATGTCTGGGGTTGTTTTTGCATCTTCTAATCTGTTCTATTGATCCTTGGGTCTGTGTTTTTTGCCAGTATCACATTGTTTTTAATACAGTAGCTTTATAGTATATTTTTAAGTTGGCAATTGTGATGTCCCCTGTCTTGCCTTTGTTTTTTGTTATTATTATTTTTTCTCCTGGGACTGAGTATCTTTATTAAATAAACAGGTAAATGGCAGCACAAATCAGCAATAATTTTGCAAGAAGTAGGGACAAGTTGTAGGGTCAAATGGCAGCTGTTCATTTCATAGTCTTAAAGTAGTTGAAGAACTGGGCCTAAGGTCCGCTGATCAGTATTATCTATTGCAAATACAGGAGGGCGAGACTAAAATACTAAAGACCAAACACTATCCCCTTTAGAAGACTTAATCAAAACCTTACAAATTATTGCAGCAGTCAGCAAGATTCTTAAGATTTGAAATCTGATTTTTTGCAGCAAGTTGTCGACCCAGACAGGAGCAAGTTGTAAAGTGACTAGGCTAAAGGTATACTCTTGAAAAAGAAAAACCTTCACTATTTCTGAAATGATTTAATACTTTCCCCTATTTTCATTTTCTAGGAGTTTCCTCTTGCATTGTACCTGTGAGTACCCCAATTTCTCTGGGAGAAAAGAATGTGTTACAAAAAGGAACAGAATTGAAAAAGCAAGAGTCCTATCATCTTAGCCTTTTAGAAATCTTGTTTTGTGGCAAGTCATGTCAAATTAAAACTTGCAAGATTTTTGTGAACCCTTTAAGAATTATTTATGTTTACTGGCCTGGAGCAAAAAATTAGGAAGGTTTGAGCAATCTTTGAAGCTGATTAAAATGGAATTTCAAAAAAATCAGCCTTCCATTTTGCACTATTTACGACTCCTTGGAGCCCCATAAGGACTACTTTCTGAAGTTGACGATCCCAGGGTGGGAGTGTGGTGCAGCCCCTGGCACCCAATATGCCATTGCTTGAGCCCCTATTTTGTGGCTTGAGGGCTTTTGAAAGAAATGGAGTAAATAGATAAAGAGATGAATAAATACATACCTACGTACATACATACATCCATACAACTCAGCAGGCAAATTCATCAGCACCACCAACACAACAGAGGGAAGCGAACAAGATTAAAATGGTAAGGGATAGAAGGAAGGAGGTGGAAAGGGAAGACGACGAGTAGGGCAAGGTGGTGGGAGAGAGAAGTCTTGGCCTTAGAGCAAGTCCAGTTCAAAGGAGTGGATGCTGGCATGGGAGCTCTCCAGAAGTTGAAGGTGCTGTACTCAGGGAGGAGATCACCTTCAGGGTTTTTCTCCAGCTCTGCTCCAGTTGCTTGCCCAGTCATTTTGCCCACGCTGCTGTCCTTGCTCTTGTAGGTGGGTATATCGGACAGACCCAGGCCTTCCAGCTCAGACAGATCCAATTCCGGAATGGGCATCCTCCAGAAGAGAAAGGAGCTGTTCTGGCTACTCATGGGGTTCCTCATATTTTCCTGTTATCAGTGAATTACTAGCGCCTTCCAGAGATGGAGGGAATACTTCAGGGTCTCAGGATCTGCTCCGAGCGGGAGAAAAAGGAAGCCGTTGGGGCTTTGATGGCTTTGTCTTCTCGCACCCTCGCCTTCTTCAGTGACTCAGTCTGCCAGATCAGTCTTGCCTTGCCTTCGTTGCCCAGGTTTTGCTCCTGAGGCATTTTATTTACACAAAAACAAAAGGTTCTGTTAAAAGAACTAAAAATGAGAAAGAAATGAGAGAAGAGGTGTTAAGGATTGCTGTTTTATGTAGCAAACCTACAAAATTAAGTCTTTAAATAAATGCACTGTAAATTTTGATTAAAATCACTTTAAATTAACACATACTTTTTTAAACAAAAAGACCTAGGATAGGTATGATATCCACCTGGGTAAGGATTAAGTAAATTTGATAAAATTACTGTTTTTGTATTTCCTGTTAGCTTATAAAAATTAATAAAAATATGCAATTTTTCTTATCCTGTATTTAAATAATTGGACCAGTAAGAGTTTAAAAAACATATGTTTGAGTAATATTTAACGTATGTATATCCTTACTGATAGTATTTTCACATATGTTGCCTGCCTAATTTTTGTATCTTTCATGACTCTCACAGTTTTTCTAATTCTCCAGGCTGGGCATCAAATATAGTAGTGTTTGGATTTTTATGTTTATGTGTTTACCCAGGTGGATATCATACCTATTTGGTAAATAAAATGCCTCAGGAGCAAAACCTGCATTTCCAGAGTAAAAGGGCCAGACTAGTGGATGAAAACACTACCATATCAGGATGCATTATGCTGAAATTTAAGCACTAGACACAAAGGTAATAAGTACCCTGCATAGTTCAGAGAGAAAAATTGGTCATATTCTGTCTTATTTGTCTTGTTGCTGAGAAGATACTTAACACCCAAAGTTAAGGGAGGAAAGGTTTATTTGGCTCATAGTCTGTAGAGGTTTCAGTGCATAGTCAGCTGGCTCCAAAGCAGGGCGGCATGGCAGAGTGGTATCGCAGAAGAGAAACAGGTCATGGCAGGCAGAAGGCAGCAAGAAGCCAGCTATAAGCAACAAGCAGTGATAACCGCAGCTGTCTTTTAATCCGTTAAATCCTGTCCAGGCTACCCACTCTGAGGGGTAGCACTCACACCCAAGGTGGGGCACCCTTAATCCTAGCATTGTACCATGAATCAATCCCAGTATCACATCCTTGATCTCAGCATCACACACGCTAGATCCAGCTACCTATGAACAGCCCCACCTATGACTGCATGAGGCTTTGGGGGGACATCTAGACACAAGCCATAGCACATTCAAAAGAACCAGGAATTTACAGTAACAACAGTAACAACAACAGTAACAAAGAATCAAATCAAATTGACCTTGCTTCTGATTAGTCACACCCAAATGTAGAAGACAGTGCAACAATGTCTTAAAATTCTGAGGGAAAATAATTTCCAGTTTAGAATTCCTATCCAGGCAAACTATCACTGCAGTAGAACAGGTATTTCCATTCATCCGAGGTCTCCCTTACACCTTTCCATAGGAACCTACTAGAGAATGTGCTCTACCATTAAGAGAAAGTAAAGAATGAACTTGGAAATATGGAACATAGAAAGGAGGCAGTAAACACAGAAGAGTGGAGCATCCGGTTTATGTTCTCTGGGGAGTAAATCTTTTGGCAGGCTCTGGGAGGAAGGGGAGATCTTTTTTTACTCTTAGAAAAATGAAACTCTGTAGCCATTAAAAAAGTTAACTCCCCATGTCCTTTCTCTTGGTGTTTGGCAACCACTATTCTATTGTCTGAGTTTCATAATTGTCAGGTCTAATGTTTAGGTCTTCAATACATTTTGAATCAGTTTTTCTATATCATAAGGTAAGGTACAATTTCATTCTTCTGTGTGTAGCTCTGTAGTTTTTCTGCACCATTTGTTGTAAAGACCGTTCTGTTATCATTGAGTGCTCTTGGCACCCAAGTTGAGAAGCATTTGGCCTTATCTATGAGGAATTTTTTCTTGACTCTGTTCTCTTGGCTCCATTGGCCTCTATGTTGTGTATTTTGCTGACACTTTCTATTATTTGAGCTTTATGATGCCTTATTTTAGTGATGGTATTTCAGTTCACTCCTTGCCTCCCTCTCCCTCTCCTCTGTCTCTCATTTTCTTTTGCTTTTGTTTTGTGATCCTGGAGATCAAACTCAGGGCTTCACATATTCTTGGCTGAACTATAGCTGCAGCCCTTTCAGTACTTTGTTTGTCCAGTAGTAAAAGTGCCATGCATTAAATAGAATTATAAATACTTTTTTTTTTTTTTTTTGTCTTTTTGAGACAGGGTTTCATGATATAGTTCAGGCTGGCCTTGAACTCACTTTGTAGGCCTCCAACTTGCAATAATCCTCCTGTCTCAACCTCGTGAGTGCTGGGGCTATAGGCATATACCACCATACCTGGCTTTAGATAGAATTAATAGGGCCGGGGATATAAGGGCACAGTGCATGCCTGGCAGTGCAAGGTCCTGAGTTCGATTTCCAGTACCTTCCCCAAAAAGGAAAAAAAAAGTCAAAACAGCTGTGAAAGATAAACATTTTGAATCAGTTCAGGACATCAAAGGAGCTGGGGCAGCACAACTAATGAAAAAAAAGACTTCTAGAACTGCTTCATAAAGTGACAAGAATAATGGGATAGGTGTATTCAAAGTAAGTATTTTTTTTTTTTTTTTTGAGACAGAGTCTCACTGTGTAGTTCAGGCTGGTCTGCCTCAACCTCCCAAGTGCTGGGATTACAGCTGTGCACCACCATACCCAGCCCTAAGTGAATAGGAACATTTTGAGAGGGGTTAATGGCAATGTATCTTTTATCGTAATACTTAAAAAAAAGAAGTAAACATTCATTCGCACCTTGTATATACAAAAAGTGTATACACCCTTTTGTTTTTCTTTTCCTGAAGTGTATATACATTTTTTTGTGTGGACTCTGTATATATATGTGAGTTTGTTTTTTTTGGCCATTGAACTCAGCACCTCACATGTGTTAGGCAGGTACTTTACCACTCAACTATATCCCAGCCCTTTTAAATTAAAAAAATTTTTTTTACACCAATACTTCATATTTTGCCCAAAGAATAGATCCTAGTAGTAAGTGCAAAGTGCAAAATCAGATGACCAAAAAATGCTGAACAAACAGCATTAATATACAAAATACTGTATTACTGATCTAGTAACAGATGATGTTCTCTGTGTTGGTAAAACTTTGGAACCAGATAGCTGATTTGTTAAATCTAGTCCATGCCAACTTCCAAAAACCAGAAAAGATTTTAGTTAGCTTTGTTTTTTGATGCTTCATCAAAATTTTCTACAAGATCTGGAACATCATTATCTTCTTCATCAGTGTCTTCTGGTTTTGGTGCTTTGCTATCCAACACTTGCCTTGGGAACTGTTTAGCTAATTTTCTGACTTGTTAAGCTGTCGGCACCAAGTTGACTTAATATTCCAGGAGGCATTTCTGTGATTGGTTTGGCTTCTGCATGACCAGTAATTGCAAAGGTGTTAGCAGAGAGGGAAGCTTGGACTTTAGGATTGTTGAAATGAATTACTGTCCCATCATCGTTAATCATGTTCACTTCTTCAATACTAGCAGTATTATTCACTGCTATTTGTTTTCATAGAACTCTGAAGCTTTTTGTCATCAACTGTAGCTGTTCTATGTACCACCTTCTTTCTGTGAGCTATATACCCTTGCCCCCTATCTGGACCTGAGCCTGAAGTTTGGTTAACTTTTCTTTTTTCTTTTTTATTTTTGGTTAACTTTTCTTGATTCATGCTGTTGGTAAATGTGAAATAGGGAGGGTCCTCCAACACCAGCATGCAGCAAGAGCAAGATGGCTGCCTCAGCTGAGACCTAAATTAAAAAATTTTTTAAAAATTAATCTACCAGTTTTTTTGAGCTGGGGTCTCACTATAAAGTTCAGGCTGTCCTTAAACTTACTACATAACTGAGGCTGGCCTGGGACCAGTGATTCACTTGCCTCAGCCTCCTGAGTACTGGGATTCTAGGTATGTGCCACTACACCCAGCTAAATATTTTCTGAGTTGCTCCTGCCCTAGTCTC